ACTCCAGTGTTGTGGATCTACAAACCTGATCTTGTTGGATATAGTGATCCTGATAGTGCTTGATTGGGCTAAAGTACTTTAGTAATCTTTATATGTGTTTTACAAACGCACACGTACCATTTCCCTATGTAGTATATATCAGAAGAGTCAACTGCTTATGTACTTTGAAGAGGCTTCAACAACATAAGCCTTAAGCTGTGCTTCAGTTACTCTTCTCTCATTGCTGGGACAAATACACAACACCTAAAAGGAAGGAAGGAAAGGTTTATTTAGCTCACAGTTGCTGGAGGTTTCAGTCCATATTCAGCTGGCTCCAAGGCAGAGCAGCACATGGCAGAGAATAACCTTTCATGGCAACAGCAAAGAGCAAGAGAGCTAAGGGAGGGAGTAGCAGCAGCTCAAGCAGCTAGCTTTTCTTCCCTCTTTACATTGTAATGCAGATTACTCTGGAGTAACACACCCATAATCATCAAACTCCAGAAACTTCCCCATGGCTGCATGAGGCTTTGGGGGGCACCTGTACACAAAGCATAACAAGCTGGATGTGGTAATACAACCCCATAGTCCCACCAGGGGAGGCTGAAGCAGGAATGCCATGAGTTTGAGACCAACCAGGGCTACACAGTTCAAGGCCAGCCTGAACTATATAGGGAGACCTTGCCTCAAAAACAAAGAAATAAGCATTGACCTGTATATTGAACCTTATTGTACAGTAGCGAGAAAATGCTGAGCAATATAAGCTTTAAGTAAGGCAACTCTTTTTGGTAATTCTGGCTCTAAAAGCAGTGGGACCTTGTAACCATTTCTTAATTCAACAGAACTCTAGTTTCTTCCTCTGCCATATGGAGATAATTATAGACCCATTATGAGGATTGAGATCATGCGAATTAAAATATCTAAACAGATACCTGGTACTTAACAAAAGAAATCTATAAGTGTTAGCTGGCACTACATTATGATTTAATGTTAACTTTTTACTCAGGTGGTGTATATTCTCTTCAGTACCATTGGTGACTCATTTGTTCCAAAGCGTGAATCACTAAAAATATCAAAAGAACAAATTGTTCAGAATATTATATGTATCTGTTAAATGTTAGTTCATTAATATTTATTGAGTACTTACCATATGTTTAGTACCAAGGTGGATACTATAGGAAAATACAAGACAGTCCCTGTCTTCAGCAGGCTCAAGATCTACATGGGGAGAAAAAGAAAATACAGTGTCCTTAACACAGACAAAGCCGTAATTTTACCTTGCGCTCAAATACGTGTCATCATTTTTTGAAGGACTGTTAGGCCCTGAAATGACTGGACATGCAATTTTCTTTGTAGCATTTTTGTGTGTTACTGTGGTTTCATTTGATGACAGGACTGCTGTGTGACAACCTGGCCTTGAACTCTGAGTCCTCCTGCCTCAGCCTTCCAAGTGTTGGAATTATAAGCATGTACCACCATGCCCAGCTAGGAGTGTGATTCTTTAAAATAGCAAATTTGTGGTGCTATCACAGTGCAGAGGTAATTTAGAATTTCATTTGAAAGAAAATGTGCATTACAGGTCATTGGGGAAGACTTGAGGGAAGAAAATATATGTAAGATTCATTTTGATGGGCAAATAGGGAGATAACTTTATGGAAGGACACAGCATAAACAAGAGCATAGAGTTTTGACAGGACAGTATAGAAATTAAGCTGGATGAAGTCCACATTATATCAAAGAGAAAAAGAAGTTGGTATACATCAGAGTGCTGGTGTGAGTTTGTGGCAGGAATGCAGGCTAGAATGTATCTGTTACTTCTTTGAAGAGGTTGCTGAAGTATTGAGCAAGGGAGGTGAAAATGAGCTCAGGGAGTGCTCCTGCTAACTTGGATGAGAGGAGAGCAGGATAGAATCAGGGAGACAGCTAAACTGTTTAGCTGGCCTAGTGACCCACATAAGCACAGGCTTGAACAAGCATGGTAGCTAGTGGAGGAACAAGAAAGGAGTTTGTGTAAAGTTGTTCAGAGCACAGATACAGTAGGGCTTTAGGACTGATGTTTCCTAGTACGTGAGACAACTAAAATAGTAAAATTTTGAGGAGGAAGATGGTTCTGTTGCAGACATGGAAAGGCAATTCTAAGCATGAAAGAGAGTGAATTTGAGTAGGCGTAGATCCATAGCTAAAGAGGGAGGAAGGGAGGGGCAAAAACAGTTTGGAAATTTTCAGTTTAAAACTGACTGATACCTATAATCCCAGTACTCAGGAGGTTGAGACAGGAGTATCCCTATGAGTTGGTGATCAGCCTGGAGGCTACAAAAGTGAGCACAAGGACAGCCTGAACTTCATAGCGAGACCATGTCTCAAAAAACAACAACAACAAAAACAACAAACCTGACTCATAATCTCATAATTGTTCAATTTTAAGACAACTACTCTTCATCTCTATTTTGCCTTGTATCCCTGCTTAATCTACCCATGTATCTGCAGTTATAAATATGTATACTATATAGTATTTTTACAAATAATATGTCCTAAAGATTTATATTTAACAGAATCTTTATAAGTATTGCTGAGTTTTTTCTTTTTAATCTGATCTATTCCCAGAGCTTCCTGAAAGCAGAAAACATTTTAGTGTGTACAGAACCTAGGAAAAGATGAATAAATGTTTAATAAAAACATTAACATCATATATTATTTCCATGCTTTTTATAGACGCTGCTACAACATATATGGTAGTTTTGGTTTTGAGTTTTTAAATTTTTGTTTTTGCGGCTGTTTAAATTGTTAACTTACAATAAATTCTCAAGATTGTAATTGCTGTGCAGATGGACATTAAATTTATTTAATGGCTGGACATCCAGGCATCTTTGTATAAAGTTATGTGTGTTTGAAGACATGTTCTGGAGTTCTGTCAAAAGTCAGTACATTCTAGTAGTATACCCTCAGTCCCAGGATTAAATAAAAGATTTGTGTAGGGGATATTGGACTTTAATAGTTCCAGGTTTATGTATGCTTCTTAAAGCTCATCTTTTCAGTAATTTCGAGGAAAATTCAGATAATAAGATATGTTAGTACTTTGCTATAAGTTGTTAAAGTGAAGGCAGTTTCATCAGAAAACTACTGATTTGTTAATGTACTTTGAAAACATCACCCAAGCACATATTGAGCCTAAAGAGACCTTCTGTGTATATGCAGTTCTCAAAGCATTGTGTCTTTTGACAAGCATTTGGCCATGAGACAAATAGGCATACGGTGACTTAAGTTAGGAGTTTATTTTCCGTGGCTTAAGTTAGGATAGCAACATATCCTGAGATGGGTAGTCTGGACTGTTTGGGTGGCTCAGTAATGTCACTGGAGTCTTATTAAACTATCTTCTGACCTCACCATCCTAGTCTGTAACTTCTGGCTATGACTAATCCTTGCTGAAGGATTAGGGTGGTTGTTGTGTTTGTCTGTTGCATTTTTCCCCATAATTTTATTGAGAAACAAATAGCAATGAGACAATTTCAAACAAAATTGGTGGGACAGTTTATCCGTTGTATCTTTTTGTTGCCCAGGAAAATAAGGGAAAGACAAGAACAGAAGGGCTTTTCTATGGAGTCTACCCTTCTTGGATTTCTCACTGTACAGTTTCTCTGCCTTTATCTCCTCATCTAGAGTTATGTCAGCTGAATACCCTTAACTTATAGGTGATGCATTGCTTTCCCCAATAAACTGTGTGTGAGTAAGAAAGAAAAGGAGGAAGGATGCTGTTGGCAACTAGCAGTATTTGCCACAGACCGATGCAACAGGCCTTCAATGCAATAACACTCCTCTCTTGGTAAGACTTAGACATGGATGTTTATAGTGTACAAGTGAAGAAGAGATGTGACTTTGGGGGTGGTCCATGGCTTTGATGATCTTTGGTGTAGGTGATTATGCCTTTGATCAATTTTTGTCTCTCCTCTGAGATTTAGTTAAAAAGCAAAAGAATTTATGTTGTGTTTTAAAAGCAGCCAAATATAGCTCTGATCTGAATTGCTGCATAGCTTGTGTTCAAAGTGAGAGTTAATGCTCAATAGCTTTCCTGCAGGCAGAATCTTAACAGTCAGTGTATTTAAGAAGTACCTGATAGAGATCATTTTGGCTAGGGAAATACTTAGTAACCAATGAGTAACCTTTACCTGATCTGGAAGGTCCAAATTTAATATGCTTATAGTAACCACAGTTTTACATTTGTACTTAGCATGTAAAATGTAAAATTTTTTGTATTTTTCTTGATTAAGATATTTTCAGTTACATATATGTGCCTGGTGCTCTAATGGTTCTCAACTCTCACTGTGCATTGGAACTATGGAGAGAGCCTTAAAAAATATTATGCCAGAGTCCCACTGCAGACCCTCTGATGCTTGGTCTGGAACATTTCTGGGTGAGAAATAATGAAGGAATGCCCCAAGGCAGTGGCAGTGTGGCATGGCTGGAGGCAAGTAGACACCTTTCAGAGTTTCAGGAAGCACATCCAAAGGATCTGTCTGCATTGCTGCAGTCTGTTGTCCTGTCCAGTATGGTGCATAAACCACCTGTGACTACTGAGCACTTAAAATGTGGCTGGTGTGACTATAGAACTACATTTATGATTTAATTAATCTAAATGACTGCAGATAGCTCATGGCCATTCCATTGGACAGTATGAATTTAGTAGTTGGAATCTATTGGTTCTAGTTACCAAGGAGTATTAAGGAGAGGAGAGAGTTGAGCAGGACCTCAAAGTTCCTACTGTCATGTAGCAGTGCTTTTGTATATGAGGAAATGAGAGAAGGATGGGAGGCAGGTTTGTAATTCTTTTGTTAGGGCCTCAGAATTTACTAGCAGTCAGTGCAGTACACGGCCTCTTACAGTGCTCAGTCCATGTTGGATTATTTTAGTGAAACTTGGCTAGGATTCACAGCTCTGGGATTTATCAGTATAGTATCAGTGTAGTCTAAAAGTATTTATACATATAGTGTTTTCCTCCTACTCAACCGTTTCTCTCTCTTTAACATCAGGTATCAGATTGTAGTGGAGATAATCCAAGCAACTACAATTAGCAGCTTTCCCCAGCTGAAGAGGCACAAGGGTAAGAACCAGTTTGTAATTTTCTCTCATATATTTTAAGGTCCTGGATCTATTTCCAGTCTTTTAGATCTTTAGCAAATATGAACATTCTTCTGAGTTACAGTGACATATCTCAAATTTATTAAAATAGTAGTACATCATTACAGCAAGTAAATATAATTTGACCCTAACAAAAAAACTTTGTATTTCTCTATTCTCTTATAAACTTTTATTCATCTATAGTCATAGATTTGAGAGGGTTTGAATTATTGCGTATGCAGTGTTTTTGTTCTGTTTTGATAGTAAGCATGGTTACATAATTTTTTCTCACTGATATTTAGAGGGTTTTTGGGGTTTTTTTAGTACCAAGAATCAAACTCAGCACCTTTCACTTGCCAGGCAAGCACTTATTCCACTGAGCTATCTTCCCGGCTCCTCTCACTGAAATTTAAATTTAGCATTCATTTACATTTCTATTTTGAAACAATCTTGTTAGTCATTTAATTGACCCCAAGTGAGCTAATGTTTCACAATTTACTTAATCTCTTCCTTTAGCTAAACATTTGGGTTATTATTTTTTTTTTCCTTTTTCTACTCTTTGGTTGTACATTTTTAAAAGAAAACTGCTCTTTTTTTTTTCCCCCCCCCCTATGTTTCTCTTCCAATGAAGTAAGATTCTGAGGACTGTTTCAGGGGTGAGAATGGATTACAGCTCCCAAGAAGTTAGCCTTGTGCTAGTACATTTCCCTTTGCATAAATGAAGTTGGAGGAAATATTGAAATCTAGAGTTCAAAGCAAATCTTGATTCACTGATCTGAGGCAAACATTACCTTCACCTTGTAGACTGGGTTTCTCACAGAACCCATGTATACTTAGGTCCCACTCAGAGAGTAAAGTGCTAGAAGAATAGTGTAGTGTTAAGTCAGAGACTTTATTTTTTTAAAAGAGAGTACAAATAAAACAAAAATTACAAGTGATACGGAAGTTCACTTAACAAAGTAATATGAATTTTAATTTTTGTTGCAATACAGTGTTGTCTTCTAACATATTACCAGATATATGCTTGTAAAATTGGAACAAGAAAGAAAAAAAGAAATGTATAAGAAATTAAGAAGAGAACCTGCTTTGCAGATGCCTCTGTCCATCCTCTTAGTTCTTTGTTGTCAACCATGGTCAACCCCACCATGTTCTTCGATATCGCTGCCAATGGCAAGCCTTGGGCCACGTCTCTTTCGAGCTGTTTACAGACAAAGTTCCAAAGACAGCAGAAAACTTTCTTTTTTTTTTTAATTTTTATTAGTAGATGTTTTCAGCACACAATGATTATTCATCCTGGGGAGTTGGTACCTCTACATAACACATCTATTTATTTATTTATTTATTTATTTATTTATTTATTTAGTGTGTGGCCAGTTCAGCCCACCAGGGGGCGGGGCTGGCTGGCATGTGGTGCTGGGAGATTGAACCGTGGTCGCTGTGTTTTGCTTAGCTTAGCTTGCTCTAAGTAGGTGCTTTAGACCACTGAGCCATCTCACCAGCCCCAGAAAACTTTCATGCTCTGAGCACTGGAGAGAAAGGATTTGGTTATAAGGGTTCCTTCTTTTACAGAATTATTCTAGGATTTATGTGCCAGGGTGGTGACTCCATGCACCATAATGGCACTGGCGGCAAGTCCATCTATAGGGAGAAATTCGATGAGAACTTTATCCTGAAGCACGTGGGCCTGTGCATCTTGTCTATGGCAAATGCTGGGCCAAAAACAAACGGGTCCCAGTTTTTCATCTGCCCTGCCAAGACTGAGTGGCTGGACGGAAAGCACGTGGTCTTCGGGAAGGTGAAAGAGTGCATGAACATGGTGGAGGCCATGGAGCTTTTCAGGTCCAGGAATGGCAAGACCAGCAAGATCACCATCACCGACTGTGGACAGCTCTAACACGTGTGACTTGTGTGTATTGCCAGCACCAGACCAGACCATTCCTCTAGCTCAGGAGAACATTCTGCACCCTACCTGCTCAAAACACCCCATCATCTCTGCTCTTACAGCAGTTCTTTGGGTTCCATGTTTTCCTTGCTCCTCTCCAAATGTACCTGGATTGCAGAGTTAAGTCTATGGTTATGAAAAAAACTAATGGTTAAAAAAAAAAAATAGGAAATTAAGAGAAAGGACAATTGAAAAAAGGAGAAAAAAAACAAATTAAGTATTATCTGCTCTTTTCCATAGATCATCAGAAATCCACAGTACTGTTGTCCAAACCATCTTGCTTACATACATAAGTAAATCTCTTTCTCTCACTCCCTCTCCTGTCCTCCTCAACTCAGTAACTTTTTCCTTTTGAATAAGTTCATTCCATTTTCTCAGTATCTGTTGTACCCTTCAGATTCCATTTTTTTCTTTCAGGTTCTCACACTAAGGAGACAATATGATGTTTGCACATGCAGGTCTGATTTATTTCACTTAAGAGTATGTTCTCTAGTTGCATCCATTTACCAACAAAATACTCAAATTTATCCTGTTTTATAGCTGAATAGCAAACCAGAGGTTTTTTTGTTGTTGTTGTTTTGTTTTTTAATATGTTTGGTTGCTGCAATGTTTCATTACACAGCTCAGACTCCTGGTGATCCTCCTGCTTTCAGCCTCCCCAACTGGGATTACAGGCCTGTGCCACGACCCGCCCTGGGAGCATGTGGTATGGGAAATCAACCATGGTCCCTGCGCTTGCCTAAGCTTGCCTAAGCAGGCGCTTTAGTCCACTGAGCTGTCTCACCATCCCCTAAGCTAGAGACTTTAAAACTTACTAAGTTTCTAGTTAGCACAGATAGGCCAAAGAAAGGTCCATTTTGGGATTTTTCTGTGAGTTACTGACAGAAGATCAGAGCATGTAAAAATAAAATAGGCGAAGGTATAAATTATGAAAAGGCACCAATTCTAAATTCTCAGCTGAGTAAGGAAAACTATGCATATATGTTTACTCAAGATCTATTGTTGAGGAATCTCCACACTGATTTCAGCAAGGTTGTACTGACTAGTACGGCCACCGACAGTGGAGAAACACTTGTTTTTCCCCACAGCCTCTCTAGCATTTGTTGCTGATTAATTTCTTGATAACAGCCATTTTTTTCTGGGGTGGACTCTCACTTTTAATTTGCATTTCTCAAATGACCATTGCTGTTGAATAACTTTTCATATATTTATTTGCCATTTGTATTTTTTCCTCTGAGAAGTGTTCATCTCATCTTTGAATTTTGGAGGCCTGATTTTTATTTATTTATTTATTTATTTATTTATTTATTTATTTGGCGGAACCGGGGATTGAACTCAGGCCCTTGCCCTTGCCAGGGAAGCGCTTATTCCACTGAGCCATCTTCCTGGCCCTGAGGCCTGATTTTTAAAAATTCTTTATATATTCTAGATAGAAGTCCTTTATCTGAGTGATTGTTAGTTAAGATTTTTTCCCAATTTGTGGGTTTTCTTTTCACTCTGTTGGTGAATTATTATTTTTTAATCTGTTTGAGACAGGGTCTTGCTATGCAGTTTAGACTGGGCTTGACCTCACTTTGTAGCTCAGGCTACTTTTGAACTCCAACAATCCTCCTGCCTCAGCCTCCAGAGTGCTATGAGATTACAGGAATGTGCCACCACTCCCAGCCTGTTGCTGATTTCTTGTGATGGGCAAAATCTTTTCAATAAGATAAGCTATCAGTTGTTGATTCTTTGAAATATTTCCCATGCAGTTTTGTTTTTATTCATGAACTCTCTACCTACCCCTAAGTCTGCAAGAAATCTACCTACTTTCTTTTCTAGTAGATACACTGTTTCTGCTTTAATGTTTAGATCTTTAATCCATTTTTACTTTGGTTGAGTGCATGGTGATAGATATAGATCTAGTTTTAATTTTCTGCTCAAGGAAAGCCTTTATCCAGCATCATTTGTTAAAGAGGCTATCTTTCTTCCAGTGGACATGTTTGGCCCCTTTATCAAAGATCAGGTGTGTTTGCAGTTGTGTCTGCATCTTCTAATCTGTTCCATTGATCCCCAGGTCTGTTCTTTTGCCAGTACCATGCTGATTTTTTTTTTTTATCACAGTAGTTTTGTAGTATAATTTTAAGTCAGTGATTGTGATGCCTTCTGCCTTGTGTTTGTTGGCCAGCCTTTGGTATTCTAGGTATTTTCGGGTTGCAAATGAATTTTAGGAATATTTTCTCTAGATCTGTGAGGTATGCTGATGGTATTTTAATTGGGATTACATTCAATCAGTATAACTGTTTGGGAGTATACCATTTTCACAATGTTGGTTCTTCCTACCCATGAGCAAGGAATATCTTTTCATTTTCTGAAATTCTTTTCAACCTATTTTTTCATTGTAATTTTCATGGTATAGATCTTTTACTTCAAGTTTTTGGATGTAGTTGTGAAGGGCATTTCCCTAATTTCTCATTCTGTGAGTTTGTTGTTTGTATGAAGGAATGCTATTGATTTTTGGATGTTGACTTTTTATCTTGCCAAGCTACCGAATTTATTAATTTTAGGATCTATTCCCCTTCTGGGTATTTTTTCCAGAGAAATTGAAAACATCATATCACATTGATACTTATACACTCATGTTTGTAGCAGCACAGGTTGTCTTTGTTAAATCTTGGAAACAACCCAAATGCCCATCAACTGAGGAATGGATGAAAAAAAGATATGTGGTATTTTTATACAGTGGAGTATTACTCAGCTATAAAAAGATAAACTTGAGGCTTTTATAGGTAAATGTATACAACTAGAGGCTGTACTCATAAGTGAAACAAGACCCACTTGAGTAAACATTGTATTATCTCTGTAGTGTAAGAACCTGGAAGAATAAATACAATCTTAAAGGTACAATTCTTATAGTAAAAGGGAAAAAAATTGCCCAAAAGGAATGAACATTTGGGATGAGAGAAAGGAGAAAAGCAAAAAGAAAAAAAGGAAGGGGAAAAATCAAGTATGTTTATATACAGGATGATTATACTACTTCTATTGTTTGTTTGTTTGTTTGT